TTCCTACTCCTTCCCATGTGTTGGAGAACATAAAGTGCATTTGAGTAACACTGGCAGAGAGGGCTGTCAGTAATAACAAGATTGACAAAGGTGGTAGCATCAGTCAATTAGTGGTAGTTCGTAATGTGGAGCTAGGGTTGGACTAGGGTGCAGGGCTGTCTAAAGTGCTATATTGCCACACCACACAGCAGCTTATTGGTTTTGGACCAGTTGATAGCTTATAACGACCCAGGCGTTCTAAAGTGCAAGATTAAGGTGCTAGAAATTAAAGTGCTAGATGGTTTTCTATGGCTCAGATTCTAATAGTACCATAAAGTCTCAGTGATGGACTAAAGTGCTCAATAGTTCAAAAACTCAAAGTCGGTGCCCACAAGAAACCCGATATCGTTCAATTAGGATGGGCAGTTGGAATCATGGGGCCTGGCTTCTAGGGCCCGTGGACAACAAACCGGCACCCCTCGGTCTGGCCCCTAGTTCTTCTTGACCGTCCCAATGAAAAGCTGATAAAACTTAATGGGGATTGATCTTATATATTGCAGGCAATGATTCTCAGGAGCCAATTTCTAGCAGCTGTGTGGAGTGATATCAATTGCATTTCCAGCCAAAGGGGGCGATGTTGCAGGAGGTAACACAATTTCTGTTGCTATGAGTTCTAGATGGTAGCAGCAACCACTGAGCTTCTAGTGGATAGGCCTTCCGGATGTTGCTTGGGCCTCCACTGGTGGGGAGTGGCGATGTTTATTCCGGACACTAGTGGGCGCGATGGAAAATGTCCCACGTTGACGATGAGAACCGGATGGCAGGAAAGCAGTCAATGATGGAATTCTACTGTTGGTGACACAACTCAGCCAGCAGAGGCCGCTACTAATGGCAATGGAGGGCCGTGCCGATGCAAAACAAAGGCAGCGCCAAGCCAACACAGCTCCTGCTCCTGCCCTCCAGATGGAAGCACGGAGGGATCCGAACAGCGCGTTCTCAGCGGGGAAGGAGCGCGTGGCGGCAGGCTGGGGAGTCTTCTTCCTTCTCTCCCTCCCCCGGACCGGCGGGAGGGAGGAGCTCGCGGCTGCGGGCCTAACAGCCCGAAGGAGCGCTGGATGTTGGCTCGAGCAAGGCTTGGCAGCGAGGCTCGGCAGCGAGGCTCGGCAGCGAGGCTCGGCAGCGTGGTGAGGGTTCCCAGGGAGCAGCGGCTGCAATGGCGGCTGCGCTAGTGATCCAAATTGTGCCCTGCTTCCCTCCGGTGGACTGAGGGAGCGGCAGCACCAGCCGAGATGTTATTGTGCCCACTGTCCACAACAGGAGAGCGCCCGGAGCTTCGGTGCCCAGGTGAGAGCTTGATTGTTAAGTGTTGGGGGAGCTTGCCAGGGAGCAGCGGCTGTAATGGCGGCCGCGCTGGTGATCCAAATTATGTCCTGCTTCCCTCCGGTAGCCTGAGGGAGGGGCAGCACCAGCCGAGATGTTATTGTGCCCACTGTCCACAACAGGAGAGGGCCCGGAGCTTCGGTGCCCAGGTGAGAGCTTGATTGTTAAGTGTTGGGGGAGCTTGCCGCGGTGGGATGGCGGCGCTCAACCTTCCTCCCTCCTCGCCTTCTTCTGCTTCTCCTCCCTTACTCTTGTGAAATTCCGGGCTGCCAGGGCCTCCTTCGAGACCCCTGGTTGTTACGGATCCTCTTACTTGAGTTTGGGGGTAGCGAAGGGGACGGGCACCTCGGATTCCTCCGGATTTCAATTCTT